GATATCATTATATTTTGTATCTTGACCAACTTACAACTTTTGACAACTCATGTCTACTGGACTGGAAACATATCTCTCCTCGTATACACAAGATTCCAAAAGGCAAACAGCCACTCTGTTTTCTTATTTAGAAGATCAAATTACTAATCCCTATACCAACCATACACTATACCAACATTTATATCTACCAGATACAAACTACTATAGCTATACAACTGGTCACTTTTCTTCAAAGAAAAAGCCTTGGCTTATTACAGTACTTAACAATCAAATAATTGCTAGTAAAGTTAGAAGGCAACCCTCTTCATTAGAGAATATTTTTATTACCTACTAGCAATGTCATATTGAGTTACAGTCTACTTGCCTATATTCTCTTTCACCAATTCAATCGTGCATATATTCTGGCTGCTCTCTTAACTCTCAATCAATTGCTAACAAATATACAATTTTGAACCTTTCAAACCAATTTTTTGGTCAAGTAAATACTTCAAACAAAACTCTTAATTTTAATGCCAATCATTTAGATCTTATATACTCAATCGCAATTAAACATCCTATTCAAACTCCAAACTTATCTAAAATTTGCATTACTACACACTCAATTTCAACAATCTTTGAACCCAGTTCATTAACAAACAATCTTTAACAAATTGTGAACCACAACGCTAACTTATCTGAACTCCATTTTTATACTGATGGCTCTGTTATTAACTTAGAAACCTCACAATGCTCTATGGATATTGGATGGGTTCAAGTCTCTAACAACTTTATTGTATATATATTTTATGCTTAGACAAAACTCTGGCCTTGCTTTTTTAAGTCTGAACTTGTTGCTATTTTGTCAGTACTGATTACCGCTCTCGAGATAGCACTATATATATATACACTGACTTCCAATCTGTAATCTCTAAATATTAAAGTCTTATACATTCATCTACTACTTTTCATATACATATACACCATATTTTTCACTTTGAAATACACTTATAAGCTTTATTAAATCTTATAATATCCATATCTTATTTCACAAAGTCACTGCTCATCAAGATGATAACTATAATAATCATGCTGACCAACTTGCACGAAACTATTACAACCTGCTATATCTAATATTTATGCCTTACAACATTTACAATTCAGCCTATATACTAACTTTTGAAAACTTTGCCTTAGAGTTACCTACTCGCCTAAGCATTTTTACAATATATCATGCTCATATTTATGCATTATGGATTATACAAAATTGCTTTCAAAAATAAACCAAGATTTTTAACCAAGTCAATTGGCAAGCCACTTGGCTATATATAAATAATAATCAAAAAATCTCCAATTTTTCACACAGCTTTCAATCTTCTTCTCTTAAGTCTTTTAAAATCAAGATCCTCCTAAATGAACTTCCTACTCCACACAACCTATATAAACGTAATCATGCACACACTTCTACTTGCCACCAATGTTATTACACTAGTTCTCACCTTCACTGGATAACCTGTCCATCTAACCAGATACTATATAACCTTATTGACAATTCACTACAACATACTTTCAATACAACTACTCTTGATACCACTTCTAACACAATAGACAATTTATATAACCAGATCAAACAATTACACTGTATATCAATACACAATATGCTAGATAGGCTATCAATCTTTTTAACACTATCTGGCCTAGTACCAGACGAAATTATTATCCTCATTTCAAACTTATCAACTCGGAAAATAGCAACAACACTTGTAATAAAATTCCTACTTTACTTTAACCAACAAGTTTATCAGAAAATTTGGATTCCCTACTGCATTTCACGATCAACAGCCCCCTTTTATTAACAACCCATATTCTAACACTACTTTACACCCATCTCAACCTGTCTCCTTTATTAACATTAGCTCTAAAATAAATTCCTGGTATATACAATGGATTAAATATCAAACTAATCTATTTTACATTATTACTAATACTCAAATCTAGGTGAGCCATGGCCACTCCAGTTGGTTTAGGCCACAGATAAACTAGTCTGAGCTTCTATTCTTTTTATAATATTTTAAAAGTAGATTAATGCTTTATGTTATAATCTCAATTAAATATTCAATAAAGTTAGAGGCATAGCCTCACCATTAATATTAAAAAAAAAAAAAATCTTGCATTTATATCTGCATTATTAAAATTTTTGAAATATATTAAAAGATGAATAGAAAGAAGTATTCAGTTAAAAGAGAAAAGAACAAGCTTAAAAATAAAATCAAACAACTTGTAAAATTAAATAAAAAGCTTATAAATGAAAACAAAGAACTTATTGAAAGAATGCTCTTATTGTACTTGATAAAAAATTTATGATATTATTAATAAAAAACTAGAAATCACAAAATTTAAAGCAAAAAAGTTGAGATTACAAAGAGAAAACCATTTTTATTAAAGAAAAGATACCCTTATTATATTATTAATGAAAAAGATAGATCATTAAAACTCAGTTATAACAAACCTTGAACCAACCTTGCTATATCAAGTACATGATAGAATAGACTAGTGATTTGAGTTGGTAGCTACTAATAGGAATCTACCACTAGTATCTACCAGTAGATAATAGTAGATACCAGAGTAGATACCAATAAAATAATAGAATAAAATTTTAAATTATATAATTAATCATAAATATCAAAAAGTATATGATTTGTCAAATATAAATCATATAACTAATAAACTATTAGTAGTGGTAGCTAGATACCAGTAGAAAACATACCAATTTGATAAAATTAACATCACTAGAATAGACCAAGGTGAAACTATTACATCACTCCTCTGAACATCTACTGTGACCCACTTATCACTACTATATATTTTGAATTCCAAGTCTATACTATGACTGCACAACCTTCTAATTATAATCTAATAACATATCATACCTCTGTACTAGCCTAGCCTCTAATAGAGAAATACTCCAAAAAATTGTCAATCATGCTTCATCTTTCTATAATATGGCACATATTACTATTAATCCTACAAAATCAGTTCTAGCCACTAATTATACCAAAGATCTGAGTCCTTCTATTATCTTTACCAATACAAGCATATCCAATATATCACTCAAAGAAACCTTCTGATTTTTGAGATGCTGGTTTACAGCATCTAGAAATCACAAATACATTTTTAAACAAATCACAAAGGAGACTACTAATCTAATCAACACTTTAAAAAAGAAAAAGAGCAAGCAATCTACATATTAAATACAGTACTTATACCACAATTTTTATACAGAACACTTAACATATACATTTCTGAAAACAGCAACTATATAATTACTAATCAATATACACAATTTGTCAAATACAAAGCAGGGCTAGCAACAACTATCTCTAATTCAACATTATTCTACCACCAAATCTATGGCCTAAGACAACTACAAGAAATATAAGAACAAAACTATATATCAGCCTTGCATAACCAACTCAACAATTTCATTACTGCAAAACCTATAAAAATATATTTACAACACCTTTAAAATGCTACTCAGTCATTAACAAACATTTTACAATTGTCACAGTTTATCTTACCAAAAACATATTATAATGCACTAACTGCACAAACTATCTATGCAGCACATAAACTTAACATCAACTTTATTAACTTACCAAACCTCTGGCCAATCTATATAAAACTTCCTGGGACCTCTATTGATATACTAATTAGACACTGCAAAAAACTACACCATATTAAAATATATACAAACAAAGCAAACATATATGCTATTGAACAGCTCACCAATTATACTAATACACATCTCCTTCAATGGCACTATATATAATATAAGATAAACAAAACAATATCAGGACATACCTCTAAATGGTTTATCATACTGCAGGACACATTTCAAGACTCAATAATATCTAAATTGCAACTGTTAAGCCAAACCTATTCATGACCAATAATAACACATTCTTATTTAGCAAATATAATAACCTAGCCATAATAGGCCAAGTAACAAAAATGACAATGCCTAACAACCAATTACAGATCACACATTAGGTATTACTATCATCAACTATAAATAACTTAGAAAATTACTAACCAAATATAAAACCTGTACTTATATATCTGCTATAAATTTATACTACCAATGTACTATTACTCTTCTAATTACCTAGTGTATTATCATTAAAGTAACTAATACAATACAGCTTTGCACTAATATCAATAACCTATTACAACACCACCCTAAGCTTAATTCACTAAGTATGAGATGCATACACCAACTAACCAAGAACAATATAGTACAAAATCACATTACTTCTAATAACTTATTATATAAACTATTTGTAACAAGCATAGCCTTATCTTGCCTTCAACACCTTAGCCAAATCAACTTCCAAATAAAAATCTATAGCTATATCTATATGCCAATACAACAAATTCAAATACTGTAGATATCTAAGCATGCTTTGCTTGGATCCTTTTACCAACTAATATATCTTTCTTAGCAACAATAATGTACTGGCCATCTACTATTAGAGCATACCTTATTAGTATTATATTAATCCTTTTAATTGCTTTATATAATAGTAAGATAACAATACACACCCTATAAACCAACTATAAATTATGTTAATTCAGTTATGCAATACTTAAACAACCTTAATATTTTTATTCAAAAACACAACTATTGGCCTCTTAAGCAACTCATTCAGATTCTCATTGCATAGAAAAACTTAACTATATAGTTTACTCTTATAAACCAAAGAGTAAACCATCCAATTTTTTAAAAGACAATGCAGCTAACCATACCTCCATAGCAGCACAGAATCCAACTTATACCATATGCACTAAATAACAGTAACTTCTACTTGATATGAAATAATATATCAGTAGAACACAAAACTCACAAATTTATACAATATATACAAAATGCAAGAAATACTGCTAAGTGGTATTCACTTAGCAGAACAAATAGCTGGCAAGAGATTTAACAAAACACAAATTGGAACAATACTTACCAATTAATTAATTATGACAACAAACTATACACAAGGTTTACACACCAAAACTATTACAAAAAAAGAACTTCAAAATTAAATTCTATTAAATGAGTTACCAACAATACTCAGCCTACACTACCAATACCCAAAGAAATATACAAACTTAACATGCAACAGATACACTCAAGCAATTGAAGACAACACCCATTGGTTAATCTACTCAATGAACCTAACAACTCTATACCAACTGATAACAAAAATGCTACAAAATACTGTTTAAAACATAATGACTAGTTACCAGATCTTGCAACACTAGTACAAAGCTTTTTTGTAAATGGTATAGACACACCTAACACCTTGCTACTAAAAGGATTAATCCCAAAGGATATCCAGACCATCACTTCATTCTACAACAAAATATTTGTTAAAATCTTATACAAGATATCAACTAATATATATAAACAAATATAGCTCAAATGCTGTAAAGCGTATATAAGAATAGATCCCTTACTAATATATTTATCACTATAACCTTGACTTACCCTTCTACACAGCATATTAGTACAACTAAATATAACAAATGGAAAATACTGTTTCCCACAACTAACATATCTTCATTATATATAGCTAAACTAAATTTAGTAAAGACAGGTAACCCACTCTAGTAGAGCTTTGGGCGAGAATAAATTAGTTCTAGCTGTAGGTCTCTGTAATAATTCATGTGATCTATATAAATAATGTAATGCATAATTATTCAATAAAGACTGAGGCCTTATTCTTTTAAAAAAAAAAAATTAATAAAAAAGATTTAAAAATCACAAGACTCAAAGCAGAAAAGTTGAGATTACAAAAAGACAAAACTTTTCTAATTAAAGAGAAAGATACCCAAATTATTACAAAATAAGTTGGTAACTAATGATAGGACTAACAAATTATTAATTAAAAAACAATTATTAATTAATTAATAATAATGAATAAACATTGTAATTTATCATCATAGTGATGCATTGCTACTCTAATAGATCAATTAAAAAGCAAGATTAGGTATAATGTAAATCAAAATCAAATATTAACTTTTCTAAAAAATTGTCTGTAGCCCAAAAATTTTGCTATAAAACTATTTTTTGTGCTCTAACAAAAAAATTTCTTGTGTAATTTTACTATTAACCTTCTCTTATCACTTTTACACTATCTTCATCTCACCCTAAGCCTAATTAATAAAAAAATAGAATTATTTTAGGTTGTTGTGATTTTATATTACACAGATCCTATAGGTAGCAATATATTACATATGTAAAAAATTATAAAATCTATAATTAATAATATTAATACAAATATTAGTAGAGCACTGCTGTTATCCTTTTTTTAGTTCAGTTTATTAAGTATATTCTATTAGTTGATTTCAATATAGTGCAAATAATATAGTTTATAATTAAATCTATATTCTATATTAAATTATTATATTTAATATTTTAAATTCTATAAAGGCAAGTTATTTAATGAAAAGTGTCTTTATAACTTAATATCATTAGAAATTTATCTCACTAATCAAATTTGTTATAGCTTACCTAAGTATCTGCTATTATATGATTTACTGCGATTACACTGTAATTTATTGTCTGAGTTTTCTCATAAATTTAAAGCATAGTTAAGCTTCAGCAAATATAATTTTATATGTATATATTTATTAGTTCAAAAGTTATTAAGGATTAATTAGATTTTTAAAAACTCAGCTATCTATTACTATGTAGTAGTGTTTTATAAAAAAGATCTGAACAGATCCAGAACTTTTAATAAGTATTAAAGTAGTATTTTATAAAGGATACTCAAACTAAAAATATATATATAATTAATATAAAAAATACACTACCAGAAACAGGCTCTATTTGCCTTTCATATACACATTTAGTTAGTAAAAGTCTTTTAAATTCGTTACAAAAACTGTGATCCAGTTCTGAACAAATAGTTTTGGAGAACCTGCCAATAGCAACAGAAGCATGTGAGAGACAAATAGTGTCTATTGCTGATAGTATATTTTCCATATTAATTATACATACAGTTTCAGTTCTGATACCTTTTGTAAAATGCTAACTTTATATCTATTAAAAATACTGGATCTATTTAGATTCTTTTCTGAGGAACACTACTATGTAGCCTATATTATTTTTGTAAATTGTGTGATTGCAAACTCTTTGGTAAGCTGTGACCTTAGTCTTGCTTCAATAAAGCTTCTGATTTTTGTTATAACTTTAAATAAAACTTTCACTTTTTAATAAAACTTTAGCCTTCAGTATGCTCTTAAATTTCAGTTTGTACAATGAATTTTTAAAGCACCTTAGTACTTTTTTTAGTATTCTAATAATAGTATAACTAATGTATAAAGGTATAATAAATCTAGATACTATATCTTGTTAAAATTAATTGAGGTGTATACAGTAGTTTTTGTTCAGAAGTATACTTTACAATTACACAAGCAAAAATTTTCGCACAGTTATAACCAATGATAATTACATTAATATCATATTGCAGATTTCCTATTGAATACTGTCTATTCTGTTTTTTTCTCATTGTCATAAGATTTAAATCTGCATCTAAGAGTGTGGTGACTTAGAATCAGTGTTGGCCTATGATCTTATATGACCTATATGACCTTTATGACCAGTCATAGGTCATTTGGTCATAATGAAGATTGATATAACTTATGACCTTTTTTAATATAGTAAGAATCATAGTAAAGATTTTTTTCATTAGTATTTGATATGACCGGATGACTATGACCAAAAAGTCATATGATTATATGACCAAGGTTATATAGGAAAAAAAATGGTATGACATAGTCATCGGCCAACACTGCTTAGAATAGTGGTTAAGTTTTCACACCCAAGAGGCAGGTTTAGAGTTCGAATCCCAACAGAGACATTTTTAGAAAAATAGGTCTGTGTATAGTAACAATTATTTGACGATCAGTTGGGTATATCACCTGTAATCTTGGTACTACCATCTCAAAATAGAAGCTCTTGGGCGATCCAAATCCAAGGAACCAGAAAAAATAAAATCCATTTGGTAAGACTCGAGTAAGAAGGTAGTAAAGATCTTTGACAATACTGCAGAAAAGTCAAAAACCAAAGACTGAAGAACTGGACAAAAACCCTGAGGCAAGAAGGATTCACCAACCTGGTTGCTGGAGTCACATCAGAAAAAAAAGTTTAATGCTACAGAATTAGAAACCAAAGGAAGTAAAACCAGAAGGCATTTAAAGCCTAGGTCTAATGATCTGTCTGGGCTAACTGGTTTTTAGTTGGGGAGGGATCGGTATAAGGACCGGCTTGATGTGGGTATCAGGATCGAAACAAACCTTGCAAGGGTACTGAATACCAGAATTGTGCAGTTTAATAGTTCGCTCTAACTGCTAGTGGTGGTTTTGGCTGCTGTGAAAAGTATTCGTAGCCTAATTTGAAAGTATATAGGACATAGAAAGATTAGAGAGGTATGTACTATCAGAAATGGTAAATGACCTGGTCATTTGATCAAAATTCAAATGACCTTAAGTCATCAAATAATGACCAGATCATTTGGGTCATTAGGTCATTTGGGTCATTTGCATATAAAGTAATTTTATTAGTTGAATTACTTATAAAAAAGTTATCGAACTTTATTACTTTTCTAATTATAATCGTAGCTATATATTAAAATTAATATTTTATTAAGTCAATTATATTTATGACTTAAGCAAAGCTGTTCAAAATAATAAATTACATATATTTTGAAATTTTCATACAGATTGAATACCTTTTTATTAATTTACTTTTGCATATTACAGTTAAATTTAATTTTGATTGGTGGCCAATTTTGATTGGTTAAAAGGTGTTAGAATATTAACTAACATATGGGGTTTTTGCCTTGAAAATCACCTTCTAACATTTCCGATCGGGTTAATTTGTACAAAAATAAATCTGAATACCGGTTTATTTTCATATATTAATCATCTTTTACTTTTATTGATTCAATAGTTATTCGATAAACTATTGAGTCAATAAAGTTATAAGACGATTAACATATGAACATGAACCGGTACTCAGGTTTATTTTTGTCCGAATTAACCTGATCGGAAATGTCGGAAGGTGTTTTTTAAGGCAAAGACTCCAGATGTTAAATGACTTTCTAAGGTTATTTGAGTTTTAAAATGGCAAATGACTAGTCATTTGTCATTTGGGTCATTTAGGTCATTTCAGGTCATTTACCATCCCTGTGTACTACACCCTCTCTAGGGCAACTTGATAGTATAAGAATCCTACTGGGTTATCTATAAAATTAGAATTCAAGTAGTATAGCACATATCAATCTGGGTGGCCTTCAATAAGAAGCAGCACAAGGTTATAGATTAGTGTGATTGTAGTAGTGATGTAGGATGGGAACGTCAGAGGGTTTAAATAGGTAATCTCCTAGTTAGGTTACAGGTATGGCATATAGTATAGAACTTTCGGGCGGACTACTTAAATTAGGTGACTAAAAGTTAAATGTGTGGCTATATGTATTCTCACTAACCAAGAATGTACTACTAAAATATCTAATAAAAATCCACCCTTCCATGACATTGCAAAAGTAAAAAAAATAAAAAAAAAAATCTGCATCTGACCAAAATGATTGGTAAAAATATACAAAACACTTGTAACGAAGTATATTAGGATGGCCTCTAATGTTTGAATCAATAATTGATATCAGGCTAATGATTGATATTAGATTCGATGATCTATTCAGATTTGATGATCAATAACACCACTGTGACTACTGTTATACAGTATTAAGAGATCTCTATAGATTTCTCTTATCATCATCTTCAACTCTCAATAGATTTCTCTTATTGTCATCTTTAATACTCAATAGATCTCTCTTATCGTCATCTTAAGTTCTCAATAAATCTCTCTTATTGTCATCTTCAACTTTGAATAAAAAGCTTTTATATACAAATTTTTTAAATTAAAAACTAAAAACTAATATAATAAGACCTCTCTAAATGCATACTCTCTAAGTATGCATACACTATGTAAATTTTCTCTAAATACAAAGTATAACTTGGCCCAACTTATAAAAGCATTATATATTTTGCTCTTTATAAATGCACTCTTTCTTTAAATACACATTTTACTTTTTTTGACTATGGTCCTGAGAGGGTGTGCTTAGAGAGGTCTTACTATATATAGTTTTTTTTATACAGTATTATTTATTAAATGTTGAATTAAATATACTTTTTATTTAACTGTTAAAAGCTGGATTAGTTATTTTATAAAAAAGGTATACAAGAATCTATTATTTTTTTAGATTATATGATTATTTTTTTTTTACTTTTAAAATATTATTACTATCATTTCTCATTAATATCAACCCTGTTAATATCAACATAGGCTATACAATGAACATTTAAATATTAAAATTATATTAAAATTCACTCATATATATCAACTTTAATATGTTCTCTCATTATTATCATTATCAACATGAATATTAGAGCAATCTAAATAGGTTGATATTAATGAGGGATGACTGTATTATATTATTTATTAACTACATCTTCAACTACTATATCCTCTACCGATCTTGGTTCTTTGGAGTATGATAAATATATGAGATATGGTTTTTTACTATTTTCTGTTACTTAGATTGCCTGCCATTTTCTTCACCATTCTACACTTTGAATATCTTTTCTATTGTTATTAACTTACTCCACTTCATCATAGCACCAACTTGCTACCAATTATTAGCATTTTTTTCTGAACAAATCTTTTTAAAGACTTGCTCAAATAGTTTTCAATTTGATTCTACATAAGTACAAGCCTCTTCATCTGGATTCTCATCTGCAGTGTTGTCATATAAACACTTTTGAACATTTTTTCAAGTTAAAATTTC